AAGCTGATGGTGGCGCCAGAGGTGGCAATACCGCCTTAGCCACCGAAACTCTGTTGGAGGCTGACGAGGGCAGGGTATCGCACGTGCTTTCAGACGTTGTATGTAGAGAATTGTATGTAAAGAAAGAGTCGGGTAAAGCAATGCAGGATGTCAAGTAGCTTTGTAAGTATGACCTATCAATTGATTGATCGATCATCAAAATGCTATATATATATATATATATATATAAGCATGTGCCATTTGGCAGTGGTCAGCAAAATTTCTAATTCATTCTTACTGACCGTCATAGAAGTATGACCTGGAGCATGACTTAAGACTTGTTCGAATTTATTTATTTGTCTATTGTCACTGAAATTTCTCTCTATATATAATATAATATAATATATTCACTAACCAGCGAAACAGAACAAAGCGACGAGGTTCAAATCGTTATTCCGAGATCCATAATGAGCGACCGCAGACAAGAGCCGGGTGCTCCTCGATTGTTGTCATCTGACGATCACTCTGCCAGAAACTTGGTGTTAACGATTTGTATAGACTTTTAATGCCATTTCGTTGGTTCGTATTACTGCACCGTCTTGGTCTATTTGCTAAAGGCATTGATCAATTTGGATTATTGCCTAGATAGGTGTCTCTCTACAGTTTATGACTATGCATCTTTCCATTTTTATTGTCGTTTTTCTATTATAGTTTCATCTTTTTTGTTTTACTTTATTTTTAGTAAATTTTCTCCCAATACAATATCCAGTCAAGGCAGAGGTTGACTGATAATAACAATAAAATCATTTCGTTTTTGCCTTGAAAAAGTCCACATTGGACGAAACGCGTCGGTTAATAATACAGTTTTCCTATTGTCTTTTACCTCTATACATATTGTCTTTTTCTGTAGGTCAACTCTGAGAAATTTTTCATACACACAAACATACATATATATATATATGTATGTATATTATAAAATGGACTATAACGTATAAACAATGAATATATTAAAATTATTGTCGGACTTCGTCAATTTCATAATATATGACGCCACTTGTTTACGTTAAGATACGCTTCGAACAGATGTGAGTGTTTGAGACAAATCATGGGAAATTTTCAGTTTAAAAGCAGTAATTCAACCTTGCTAACCAAACGCTTCCTCTGTAGCTAAATGGTATAGCACGCCAGGTTATGTGACGGTTCCATGTAGGGTACATGTCCGATTCCTGTCGGAGGAGACATATTTTTTATGAAATTTCTCAGATATTCAGGCCGGTAAATGTTGTTTAATACTGTTTATTATAAACAGAGTATTTACTTAATAATTATGAAAGTTTCTTAAATTGAAAAAAGAATGCTCTTGTATATAAATACTAGTTACAAAATAAAAACAAAAAAACTCGCATTTGCCTTAATAAAGTCCCTTAGAGGACGAAACGCGTTGGCTAAGATAAGTTTTACTTTTCTCTTTATTCATATATATGGTGGCAATAAAGTCATTATAAAGTTACTTACAATAACAATTAAGACAAAGCATTTAATCAACAGTCTAGAAGGTTTTTTTTTTTATTAAAATGGTTCTAGTTAATACCAATAAAATGCAAACATTAAACAATAGTGAATTAATTAACGACACTGTTCGAACTGCAAGCGACCTGCTTCTATGCTTTGCTTTTTTATATAAGCAACTCAATAGTGACTTTATTTCCACCCTTTGTACATTATATATAATATATATATAATATATATATTTATATATATATTATATATACATATTATATATATCTCGGTTATCCACTATATTAGCACCATAATTGCACGTATGCTACAGTTTTCCGTTCATGGATCATGCAAAGTTGAAATAAAAAACACGAATGATGCCAAATGAGTGATGCTTCTGCACTTGTTTAAGATCAAATGACACTAACCCAGCACCGCTTCGACTTTCTCCATCACAGCTAAATAATCCAAACAGAGACCAGTAAAAGGAACCGACCATATTTTCAATGTCTTTAGAAACAACGAAAAGAATTCTGACCTGCTATGTAATATCTAATTTCTTATATGGCAATGAATGCCGGACAATTTCCTCATGCTTTTCATAAAGTAAGCAAAGTATTAAGAGATGGGAAAATATCATTAGAAACAAAAGGAGTGGGGATCTGAACTTCCAGGTATTATTTAACTTCTTATATCGTAGTGAATGTTCGACAATCTCCTCTTGTCTTTCAGAAACTAATGAAATATGAAGAGATAATAAAATGTTGTTAGAAACAAAGAAAACAGTGCTGGACTTCTATATAATACCTAATCTCCTATATGGCAATTAATATTGGCCAATCACATCGTGACTTTCAAAAAAAGTAAGCAGAAGGTTAAGAGATAAGAAAATATTGCTAGAAAAACGAAATGATTGCTGTAATATCTAATCTCCGATATGACAGAGGAAACATTGGTTCACGTATGATCACCGAAGTTAAGCAAGGGCTAGCCTGGTCATTACCTAGATTCGGAATACTAGTTGCTGTAAGTTTGGATGTGCAGGTGGCGTAAGGGATAATGGCTCAGAATTGTTAATCAGAGAGCCGAGTTCCAATTCAAGTTGGGTTCGTTTTATTCACTTACACGCAAATACCATTGACAAAGGTATGAATCCACGTCTTTTCCCCTCAGCTATGGCTTAATTAGTGAGACTTGTATCTCTAAAACAATTATTATCAAAAATAAATAAATAAATAAATAAGTAACAAAATAAAATAAATAAAAATAAAATTATTTCGATTTCGGCCTTAAATAACACATCGAGGTTGATATACCGCTAAACAAAAGCAAACGAACCAACCAACCGATATGGCAGTGAATGCTGGACGATCTAATAGATGAAAAAAACTTGAAAAGACAAAGAAGTGATTCTCCTGAAGAATGCTAAAAAGACCATGGACAGATGAGAAAACTTCAAGAGAAAGCGTAGCAAAAGGGAGAAAGGAATACATTCAATTGGAAAGCCAGCTAAAATACCAAAACAAACACACACACATGAATAGCGAAAGATGTCTTTCAGAAGAGAAGCAAAGCCATAGGAAAATGTTATAAAACAAAGAAAAAAGTTTTGAACGGCTACGTAATATATCATTTCCTATATGTCAGAGAATTTTAGTCAATCTTCTTACAGATGAAGAAGAGAATGCAAGCCACAGAAGAAAACAAATGATATCATGAACATATGAGCAAAACATGTGGTCTAAGGGAAAAAAAGGAACTAGAAATAACCTATATTTACAAAAAGAAAAGAGAAAATGAAAGTTCTAAGACACATAATGAGGAAACAAGGTTAAGAGAATTTAACACTCAGAGGACACACTGAAAACAGGAGTAAACAGTAAGAAAGCTTCTGTCTATATTTTTGAGATGAGGTAGTGTAACTATTTACATTGTTCGGACTGTTGTCATCGTCTTTGTTGCTATATTCACAAAGACGTCTAGAGCGTACAACGGCCGAAACGTCGTGAATGTGACCGTAAAGATGAGGACAACAGCCCGAACAATGTAAATAGTGTAAATAGTTACAATACCTCATATTAGAAATATAGACAGAGCCTGAAGAAGGCCGGGGCGTACAACGGCCGAAACGTCGTGAATATGACAATAAATATGAGGACAACAGTCCGAACAATGTAAATAATGTAAATAGTTACAATAACTCATCTCAGAAATATAGACAGAGACTGAAGAAGGCCGAGGAGTACAACGGCCGAAACGTCGTGAATATGACAATAAAGATGTGGACAACAGTCCGAACAATGTAAATAATGTAAATAGTGAGTGTTTACTTAACAAGTTTGTTTGCGGGAATAGCACAACTGGTAATGTTAAAGGTGGTACAAATGCCATTGGTAAAGGCATGAATTCATCTCTCCCGAGCTAGGGATGAAATAGCAAGGTAGATTCGGTTCTAGAGAGCCAGATTAGAAGGAAAGCTCCGAATTCAAAACCACGTAGAAAGAAAGCGTAGACCATTTTGTTATCATTACTTAGCATGTCATGACAATTCATACACAAGACTGAAAAAAAAACCTGTGGAGAATCATTATCGCTTATATCCTGAAGGGACATGGTAATAAAAATAGTCTCAAAAGTTATTTAGAGTAACAAAAGAGAGAAAGTTGGAAAGAGCTATAATCGCCCATATACTGAAGACAAATGGTGCATAAAAGAAGTGCAAATGATGCCTTCCAAAAGCTAAGCAAAGTATTAAGAAACAGGAAACCTTCGTTAGAAACAAAGAAAAGAGTGCTGAACTGTTATGTAATATCAATCCCCTTATATAGCAAAGAATCTTCTCACAAATGAAGAAGAGGCGTGAGGTAGCAGGTGTTCTACAGAAGGATGATGAGAATACTATAGACTGAGCATTTAAGCCACGAAGAAGTTTTAACAGAAATGGAAATAAAAAAATACACAGAATCAGAAAGAGAGAGGTGAAATATCCAGAAGCCAAAGTGAGAAAAGAAGGTTGACAGTCACAGCATATATTGAAGACAGGAAGGACAGAAGACAGGAAGGACAGAAGACAGGAAGGACAGAAGACAGGAAGGACAGAAGACAGGAAGGACAGAAGACAGAAGCGGGTAATGTAGATAACATGCTTGTGGAAATCGAACTCAGAACACTGAGTGACAGTGAAAAGACAAACCATACTTAGAGCCACAAAAGTTGGGAAATCGTGGAGTGCCATTATCGCCTACGTCCTGAAGAGACACGGTACATAGAAAGAAGGAGAATATCACTTAAGGTTCTGCTTTAATTATTTTTTTACAACAAATAGGTTGGCTAGCGCCCGCAATCAGCCCAGGATTTCTGAGATTAGTCGTGTTTAACTGAGAGCAGATTGCTTATTGAAAATGTACACGAGCTGAAAGGGACAGCATGAACTCTTATGTCGCATGACATCAAGCTGCGTGAATTATTAAAATGTATTCTATTATTTAGCTTTAACGGCAAAGTAATTCTATACGAGAACAATGGCCAACGTGAACTAACTAGATATCATTTCTATATTATTTTTCTTTGTGCAAATTGATTTCTTGTTTACTGATCGAAAAATCTGCAGACCAATAAATATATCAACATGGTAACAATCTAAATAATATAACGGAGATTAGTTTTGATGGAGATATTGTTTCTATTAGGTGGATGGAAAATCTATTAACTATTCGTTGATCAATCCAGAAATTAAGGTCTTAATAAACTCTGTATTAAAGGTATTCATCCCTGTTCATCTATTTATCGCGTCGTTCATCTCTCTGTCAATCTATCTATTTCTATCGCGTCGTTCATGTCTGCGTCTGTATCTATCTATCGCGTCGTTCATGTCTATCTCTATATATCTATCTATCGCGTCATTCATGCCTGTTTATCTATATCTATGGCGTCGTTCATGTCTATTTATCTATCTATCTCTATCGCGTCGTTCATGTCTATCTATCTATCTATCTATCTCTATCGCGTCGTTCATGTCTATCTATCTATCTATCTCTATCGCGTCGTTCATGTCTATCTATCTATCTATCTCTATCGCGTCGTTCATGTCTATCTATCTATCTATCTCTATCGCGTCGTTCATGTCTATCTATCTATCTATCTCTATCGCGTCGTTCATGTCTATCTATCTATCTCTATCGCGTCGTTCATGTCTATCTATCTATCTATATCTATCGCGTCGTTCATGTCTATCTATCTATCTATCTATCTATCTCTATCGCGTCGTTCATGTTTATCTATCTATCTCTATCGCGTCGTTCATGTCTATCTATCTATCTATCTATCGCGTCGTTCATGTCTATCTATCTATCTATATCTATCTATCGCGTCGTTCATGTCTATCTATCTATCTATCATTATCTATCTCTATCGCGTCGTTCATGTCTATTTATCTATCTATCTCTATCGCGTCGTTCATGTCTATCTATCTATCTATCTCTATCGCGTCGTTCATGTCTATCTATCTATCTATCTCTATCGCGTCGTTCATGTCTATCTATCTATCTATCTCTATCGCGTCGTTCATGTCTATCTATCTATCTCTATCGCGTCGTTCGTTCATCTATCTATCTATCTATATCTATCGCGTCGTTCATGTCTATCTATCTATCTATATCGTCGCGTCGTTCATGTCTATCTATCTATCTATATCTATCGCGTCGTTCATGTCTATCTATCTATCTATATCTATCGCGTCGTTCATGTCTATCTATCTATCTATATCTATCGCGTCGTTCATGTCTATCTATCTATATCTATCGCGTCGTTCATGTCTATCTATCTATCTATATCTATCGCGTCGTTCATGTCTATCTATCTATCTATATCTATCGCGTCGTTCATGTCTATCTATCTATCTATATCTATCGCGTCGTTCATGTCTATCTATCTATCTATATCTATCGCGTCGTTCATGTCTATCTATCTATCTATATCTATCGCGTCGTTCATGTCTATCTATATCTATCGCGTCGTTCATGTCTATCTATATCTATCGCGTCGTTCATGTCTATCTATCTATCTATATCTATCGCGTCGTTCATGTCTATCTATCTATATCTATCGCGTCGTTCATGTCTATCTATCTATATCTATCGCGTCGTTCATGTCTATCTATCTATCTATATCTATCTATATCTATCGCGTCGTTCATGTCTATCTATCTATCTATCTCTATCGCGTCGTTCATGTCTATCTATCTATCTATCTCTATCGCGTCGTTCATGTCTATCTATCTATCTATCTCTATCGCGTCTTTCATGTCTATCTATCTATCTATCTCTATCGCGTCGTTCATGTCTATCTATCTATCTATCTATATCTATCGCGTCGTTCATGTCTATCTATCTATCTATATCTATCGCGTCGTTCATGTCTATCTATCTATATCTATCGCGTCGTTCATGTCTATCTATCTATCTATATCTATCGCGTCGTTCATGTCTATCTATCTATCTATATCTATCGCGTCGTTCATGTCTATCTATCTATCTATATCTATCGCGTCGTTCATGTCTGTCTACCTGCCTATATCTATCGCCTGGTCAATGTCTTTCTAAGTCTGTTCATATCTAATCTAAGTCTATTCCAATTCATCTATCTAGTTATTTATATCTATCAATCAATCTCTATTGTGCTATGCCTGTCTATCAATCTATCGTCCGTGGTTTTCTCATCTATCTACCTATCTACCTTGTATGTTTTTTTCATGTTATCTTCGATGAGAAATTTCAAATATTTGTATATGACTTGTTGGTATTCGTCATCGAATCGCATGCAAGATATATGGAAGAAATTCTCATTCAGAAAAAAAAGAAATAAACTAATATGAGGCTTTATTGATAATTAATGTTCAAGAGCCACTAAAGGTAGAGTGGCTTAAAATTGAAATGCTGTAGGAGGTGTGCGATATGGATAGAAAATAAGGTGGAAGAAAAAGAAGACTATGAAGATAAGGAAGTTACATTACAATTGATCCTTGACTTGAAGAGGTTAATATTAAAGTACTCAGTGAAGCATCTCCGTGGGAAACTTGTCTACAAAGTGTGAGTTCTTGTGGGGTAAAGCTCTGAGTGGAAAATCTTACATTTGTTTCACAGAGAAAATGAGGCCGTTTCGACTGTCGAATTCGCATGGCGTGTCCTCGCTGTAAAGACTTCAACTTGCGAAACTAGAGAATGGGGTACATCTGAACACTTCCTATAGAAATAGCAATTTTGTAGCAACAGGCTTGCAAATAAGGTCTCCAATTGGATTGATTTTTTTTTACAGATTATCAGCTATCTGGGTTACTGTCATAGGTCCTTACCTATAACTACAAAATGAACTCTTCCTAACACTATGTATACTACGCCTCTCAAGAGAGAGGGACGAATCGAGTCGAGCCGATAGTAGCTCTCTGGGTTACTGTCATAGGTCCTTATAATTACAGAATGAACTCTTCCGAATACTATGTATACTACGCCTCTGAAGAGAGAGGGTCGAATCAAACCGAGCTTCTCGACTTGACGGCCGAACTCTCTGCCTCTGAGCAGAAAGGAACCCGGACGAGGTTCCACCGAAGGGCAGAATCTCGTTCGGGGAGAATCACCAACCCGATCTCGTTTATACGTGTTATACGGGCATTTTTTGGCCGAGCCTAGGGGCTCGGGAAACCCACGTTAAATTCGGCCTTGTGCCACATGCAACCCTCGTGGGAGGGTGGCTAGATACCGAATCAAGCCGAGCTTCTAGGCTTGACGGTCGAACCCGGACGAGGCTCCGACAAAGGGCAGAGTCTCGTTCGGGGAGGTTGACCAACCCGATTCTGTTTTTATAGTTTGTACTGGCATTTTTTGGCCGAGGCTACGGGCTCGGGAAACCCACTATAAACTCGGCCTTGTGCCACATGCAACCCTCGTGGGGGGGGGCTAGATATCGAATCGAGTTGAGCCGATAGTAGTCCACTCCAAACCAGACTGACAGTCATACTAACACCTTCCACATCTTGTATTATTATTTCGTGTAATATACCTTCGTTATTTCTACTCTTGTGTTCGTGTTGTTCTTCCTTGGTCCTAACCTGGACTATAACAGTTATTTAAAGCCGAAACTTATACTGGATTGTAAGAATAATTCCTTTCTCGTGGGATAATATTGTATTAGTTTTTTGAGAATAACTATGATTTATCAAGATACAAGTCCTACTATTAGCCACACAAAGTTTGGAAATAGAGCCCGGATGTCCGAGTTCTCATTCAGAGCCACTCAATTAAAAAAGATGAGATCAAATAGGAGAAATTCAACTGTTATCAAAATGAATTAAATTTCTCGCGTCAATTACGAATGTTGGTCTATGTATTATGTTTCCAGTTTTGCAAAACAAGTTTTGGTAAGATAGAAGAAATTAAACTGGTATTAAAATGAATTAAGTGGAGTTGAGATAAAAAATAACCCTTTTTATCCAAAGTTTTTTTCATATTACTATAGGTTAAGCATTCCAGATAACGAATATAAAAATTATTAAATTATCTCGAAATTAAAGGAGGGTGTTAGTTGGCTATGTCAACTTATTGTAAATTGATCCCTTTACGGAAGCCAAAGCAAAATATAATCATGTGATTTCTTAAAATGCAAAAAAAAAAAAAAAAATTAAATTTCTATTTTGGATGTTTTAATACTTTGAGTTGGTGCATAATTATCAGGCGTTTTTGTAGGCGAGTTATTTGTTAATAAAACTTGCTGTTTTGTTTACTTTTTTTAATAAAAATATTATTTTATTTTCAGATTATAAAAATGCGCGTTGATAATCATACTCATTTAAAATGTTATTGTTAAATTCTTGTTTCTTTTTTTATAATAAATATTGTTTTAAAACGCCTGATAATTATGCACCAACCCAATATATATATTTCACACGTGTATTGAGCACTACTGTTCCCTGGTTCCATTCAAACCTTACTATCAACCTATATATATTTATATATATATATATATATATATATATATATATATATAATACTCTCGATTAAACACTCTATATTACAAATTTAAAAAAAGCATTTTATTAAATTTTAAGAAATCCCATCATATAAGCAAATTTGTTTATAACTTTTGTAGAATTTAATAAAAATTCCTTTTTAATATTTGTGAACTGGAATGCTTAATCTATAGTAATATGATTATTTCGGATCGGAAAATGCCTACTGCACATTTCCATCATGAAGTAAATTTAATTATTTTCAAAAAGTTATTTTTTCACATTATCCCCATTTAATGCTGCACTTTTTCATTCTGTCCTTAAAAGAACATTTCTTATTTACTTTTGATTCAATAGATCGAAAAATCTTCTCTGTTATCATCGGCTAAAACAAATGTTCATTTTGAGGAACAACTAGAAATGAGCTCGTGCAAAATAATGGCTCTGTGGCGAGTGCATTTTCACCGTCTTCTCATCATATTATAGTAATTAACAGCTAGTTCTATCAGGCTTTATTTAGCTCGTGGGCTATTTAAGAGCTCACGGGGATTTATAGCCTTCTTTCATGTGCTGCCACCCTTCAGGACACGGTTCTCTACAGCTTCCTTCACCTTTTATCTCAAAGAGAAAAGATTGATTGATTTTATATATCAGCATTTTCTAAAATGTCGAACTTATTTTGATTGGGGCAGCCAGTAAGGACCGAACTCATTAAGTGGTAGTTATGAGCTATCATACTAAGCTAGCCAACCACTACCCCACATTGAGGTGCGATAATCACTCTAGAACAGAATATTATAGAATACTGAGAAGAAGTTCAAGCATGTTTCCATCGCCACTATTAGCGCTGCCACACGGTCGGAGACCTTACACATCAAGCAAATCTCATTAAACTTTGATTAAAGAACATGGAATTTGAGAAAATGTTGGACCTGTAAGTGATACACCAGAAATATCGGAATAAAGACTGTTTCAGATAAAGAGAATAACAATTTGGTTCAGCCCTCAATTGATTGGATCAAGATAGCACATAAAATTAAAGAAAGAATTTCGGAAAGAGAGAAATGGTTTTCCCCATTATAGGTATTACTATATCAGTGATAATATAACATCTTAATACACGGATGAAACAGACTAGTGGGAAAGAAAGGAATGACAACTATGCATTGTTCTTAAAGAGATTTTATATATTGCTATATCATACAAGAAATTATATACAAATATATACTTGTCACTATTTTCTCTCACACAGAGAAATTATAACAAATAAAACAGAATAAAACGTAAAGAAGCGAGAGGGTTTTACTTGTATTATTTCCCGATTAGAAAAACGACAAAACCGGTTATATGTTCTACCAGCTTCAAGGTAACACGTACAACCTTCGTGTCTCTTTACCACTGTATGCTTAAGATGACGTCAAGCGCCTTAGCGATCTACCATCAGCAACTGGCGTGAGCAGACATATCTTGCTTATATGCGTGTTAAATAGCAACTGAGGTTTTGTCATCTCACGAACTCACATCGAATGATGCCCGTGCCATCATTTTAACCAAAGGGAGAGAAGCGCACTTCACATCCCTATGTAATTATCTGGGAAGGGTTTTAACAGATGATGAAAAAAAGCGACAATAAAATTCGAAGGTGTATTAAAAAGAAAAGAAAAGATGCCTTCCAAAAGTTAAACAAAATATTAAGAAACATGAAAATTTGGTTAGATAAAAAGAAAAAAAGTACTTATATAATATCATTCCTCCTATATGGCAGTGAATGCTGGAAAATTTCTTCGCAGATAAAGATTTGACGCAATAGAGATGTGGTTCTACAAAATACCTTGAACTTTTGAATAACTAGGAAGTTTTGGATAAAATAGACACAAAAAGGAATTTTGTACTTAGAATCAGAGAGAATTGAATTTTTTGGGACTGAGAGAAATGGGTTTGGAGTTTTTGACACTCACAAGGCATACTGAAGTAAAAAGAGAGAAACGTCAAGTAGTTTAATATTTTTTAAAATTAATTCGCCCTAAGGAAGATGACAATACCACTAAGAACTCAAGGGGCTACTGAGAGTGAAATAGAAAGAAAAATATTCTAGAAGGAACCGGAAACCCAATCCTAAACAGGAAACAAGGGATAAACCTCTACTCCTGTTCAAAAGACTGAGAAGATGTGTGAATCGGATGATAGGCGAATCAATCTACACGTATTAAGGTTTGTGTAAATGGATAGTAGAACAGATGCCGGGTAGCGAATAGTAAGGAGAGAAAAATTGCTTAGAGCTACAAAGGATAGGAGATAGTGGAGAGTCATGACCACCTAGGCCCTGAAGAAAAACGACCTAAAAGAGAAGAAAGAATGGATTCATAATAATTTTAGATCATGTTAAATTTATGAATGTACGTTTGTTAGCATTCTTTTTCTTCGTTCGACTTCCTTGTTTTCTTTAGTGGTCTTCCTTTTTCCGTTTCTTTTGCTATTTGCTTTGAAGTTAATTTAAATTGTTTTCTTTTAAATAAATATTATAGCCTTTATACCTGCCCACATATTTCGTGTACAGACTCCTCTTTCTCCATCTTTTCTTCCAATCCCTGAATATTTTTCTCTCTGTCTTTATCGATCATTTTATATTCGCTTGCTCAGCCGGAAGTCATGAAAATGTTGTCAGATATGTCCAACCCGTATTTCTCATCTTCTCCAGAGAGAATAAACCTTCACCCGTCTAGTCACATCATTGTAATTCGCCCGTCCCCCACCCCTGACAAACAACGAATAAGACCAACGTTTCCCGTTCGCAGTGGAAACGGAAAAGAACCGCATTTTGGTTCTCGGAGCCGGAGGCAAAGTCGAAAAGTAAAAGAAAAGAAAACAAACAGATCGTTTCTCCCCACACATTAAACACAAAGCGCCGTACAATGGTAGTTGAACGCGGAGCGGTGGTGCCAGTTGAGAACTGGCTTCTTCAAGTGACTGACAGCGCAAGAAAATCGGCAATAAGGATTATCCCCCTTAGTTTTAGCTGTCAGTCTCTACTTGCATTGATAGATTGCACCTGTAACGAAAAGTATCTGTAACACGGAGGTTGAAGCTCGGAAGGGCGTGATGTGGCGTTGAGACCCAAAGGAATTGAATGTATGTGCATCCAGGTATTAACGAGTGTGTTTGTGTGTGTGTGGGGGGGGTGCATGCGCGATATTGTGAGAGGTTGGGGCAGTAGTAGATATAGTTGCTACAATGTACAAACGTAACTATTTAGGTTTTAATATATAACGATTCATCCACACGTAAATAAACAAAATATGTGTGCTTGAGTATCTATTGATCCATTCAAGTCTATCATATCTATATGCCCACATTCCTATATATCCGCATTCCTATCAGTCCGTAAACATATCTGTCCGAATTCGTATCAGTCTGAATACATATCTGCCCGCATATATATATATATATATATATATATATATATATATATATGTGTGTGTGTGTGTGTGTGTGTGTGCGTGTTTTTTTATATATCTACCAATTACTGTATTTATATCCATGTATGTTCATATCTATCATTCTCTGTTCATATTTATCTGCCTGTCTTTATTGATATCTTTCTATGTTCATATTTATTGTTGTGGTGTCCTCCCTCTAAGAGTATATGTTAGACTCTTCCGCCTACTATAAGTTTAGTAGGAGAGAAGGTTCGGGGGACAGAGAACAGTGTATGGATTAAGCGCTGGTTCATACCATACACACTCACTAGTCGGGTAATACACTTCTGGTGTACTTACTGTTTAATATACGATATATCTGCAAACCGTGTTTTTGTTATTACTTAACCATTTATTTGGTTACAACACTTACTTATCTCTTTATGAAATGGACAAAGTCCGACAATTATTTTAAGACATTTTTTATGTTTATACGTTCTTTTTATAGATACAAATATTTAAGTAAATGCTCTGTTTATAATAAACAGTATTAATAACATTTACCGGCCTGAATGTTCGAGAAATTTTCAAAGAAAATATCCGTCCTCCGACAGGAATCGAACCTGTATCCTATACGGAACCGTCATATAGCCTGACGTGCTTTTACCGATTGAGCCACAGATGAACGTTTCGGTTAGCGAGGTCGATTTTACTGTTTTTACGTCAGGCTATATGACTGTTCCGTATAGGATAGTGAAGGGTTAAAATTCACTTAGAGCAACAAAAAGTAGGAAATTGTGGAGAGCCATGATCGCCTATATCCTGTAAGAACTTGACACGTAAAAGAAAAGAATGTCATCTGCGCATGTGCATATGTTCATCGAACGGCGTTCATAATGCTAAATATTATGAACGTTGCTCGATAAATTTTTTTATTTGTTTTTATCTATGTTTGACTTTCCTTTAACGAAAGTGATGTGGTTTCGAATCTCACTGAGCGCTTAAACTTTATTTTCGATCCTACGCTGCCTGTTCAAAGCTGGAGTTATAAAAGCCTACGGTACTACTTGAATACACTGACCCGCTGGTGAATAATAGGCAATATTTTTTTCCGGGGCACAACTTTTAAAGATTAGCATTTATTAGATGTTAGTCAAGTCACTAGGTTTGTCTGACCCCCACTTCCTCCCCCACCGCCGCCAATATTTTTTATCAATTTTAAGGTGGGAGTGATGTTTCTAATATAAATACAATGTAAAATAAGGACTTGACATTTTACAGATTTATCTGGAGTTAGCTTTTTACAAACGTTAAGTTTGAAACTGTACTGACGTCATTGGTATTTGTATATTTCATTCAGTTTTTAATTTTCTGAACTTATTAAATTTACAAAAAAGAAAACAAAATTGACTTAAGAAACATGAGATTTTTCGGAAGCATACACACAATTGTTAGGGAATAATAATTATTTATATTAATGAAGACCAATTTTTAAATATACTTTTATTAATTTATGTAAATTGACAGGTTTTTTTCAGTTTATCAACCCTTAGGTTATTACAGTCACTTACATTCTAATACCCTTGGGAAAGGTATGAATTCTCATCTCCCCCCAGCTATGGGTAAATAGCAGGACAGATCGGGTTCTATAGCCTTGGATGATAATTGGTCTACCACAGAAAGAAATGTCAACCTACTACGGGAAAAATATGCCTCGTTAGTCATGTATCGAAAGATACATGATCGCCTAAGGGTGTGTCACGCATAGCGCATAACTGACTGAGGTTATTTAAAGCCAGAAAATATTTTTAGATGTATTTTTTTTAAGATAATAATATTTATACAAGTCTTAATAATTAACCCAGAGCTGGTAGAGAAGAGGTGAATTCTTATCGTTAGCAAGGGTATTTGCGCGTAAATAAATATAATGAACCCAACGGGTATTGATGCGGGGCTCTCTGGTTAACAATTCTGGGCCATTATCCATGACACCACTCGCACGTCCAAAGCTTACAGTACCTGGTATTCCCAAGCGATCACCCATCGAGGTACTCTCCAGGCTTAACGTTGATTAACTTCGGTGATTGTACGGGAACTGGTTTTTATGTAAGAGGAAATGAAGATGAAAGTAAAATATTGCTAAAAAATTGATAAGAATGGTCGACAGTGCTTCATGAATTAAAAACGAACCAAAAGAAATAAAAGGACAAAAGACGTACTCCTTAAAAGTGTGTATAAAATCCACAGAGGCAACACTGAAAATATAGAAAATAAAATACAGAGATGAATTGAATTCAACGGGGAACTCTTTGACATGAAAAAAAAGAAGAAAGGATCTGAAACATCCTCGTCTGAGGTAAGATCAGCACTGGTGAAAAATGGTCAGGAACAAAAATAGTAGGACTGATAAGATTGTACAGAGATGACGTCAGCCTTAGACGATTTCGGATCGTTGTTTAATAAATCAAATATAAAAAATACCAGAAGATCTTAGTCGATCCATCTTCATCCAAATATGTACATCCGGATTATGATGAATAGAGTGTGTGGTAGAATTAAACCGGAAATGGAGCAAGAAGAGTGTATATTCATTAATATTATATATATATATATATATATATATATATATATATATATATAATCATAAGCATTCAAGTTACTATGGTGATTTTTAAGTTCATTCTAAAAAAAATTTTAGATATTCTTGTTAAAATTCAAAGAAGAATCTGTATTGTTAGTGGTCCTGACCTGACATCTCGGTTTCAGTCACTTTCTCACCGCTTGTTATGGTGAAACACACCTATTCTATAGTTAATAGACTCTCCCACCTAATATAAGTAGGAGTAGTAAGAGAAACGAGGGTCAGTTGATGTCGGATGACAGTAGTCGACAATTAGTCAAATACGAAAGTAGTCAGCGACCACAACAAGATTACTCTGCGTAATACCTATTATATCAAGTTCCTAACATTTTGTACGTCGAACTTATTTAGGACCGATTTTAGTACAAATACAAGCCTCCATTGCGAAATAACTCCACAACACCACCTTAACATAGGTAGCCCTGTGCCTCTTCTATATATACTTTCATGGTAATTGTTCTGATGAACTCTCCTCTATTGTACCTAGACTATGAATTTCTGCACAAACTAGATTGGCAAATCAAGGTCTCATCATTTTACAGTTTAAATAGCTAGATGTAACGGTAAGTTCTCTGTTAACAGTTTCTTTTCTCGCACTTCTCGCGAGTGGAACTCTCTTCGGGCTTCTTGCTTTCCGGTCACGTTTGATTTTCAAAAATTTTAATCGTTATCTTCTGACGTTTTGATATCTGATTTTTTTTATTGTTCTCTTTCCTTTATGTTTTCTTTTGATGTTCAGTACTCACCCCTGCATCTCAGTGGCTTTGTTACCTTGCTTGGAGTGAAATGAGTAAAGAGATGGAAGACAGAGATGCTTTTTGGCAACAGATTTATTTAACCTTTAAATCAAAGCGAGACTAAAAGAACTTGAAGTCCTACCAGGATTTATTATTGATGGGCAGTGTCTTAACAATATAATATATGCAGATGATATTGTTGACGGTAGATAAAAAAAGCGAATTGTAAGACATCCTAGACAAGGTAGTAAAGGAAAACGGAAAGACAGAATGTATGTTTGTTAGTAAGAGAGACAGCACAAATTACAAGTTATGGATTGGTGACCATAAAATGTGACACCGAAATCCGAAGCCACATTTAAATAGCGAAAGATGCCTTCCAAAAGCTAGGCAAACTATTAAAAAAATAGAAAAATTCCTTTGAAACAAAGAAAAGGAGTGCTCAGATGTTATGCAAGATCAATTCTCTTGTATATGGAAGAGAATGTTGAACGATTTCCTCACAGACGAAGAGGAAACGAGGCAACAGAGATGTGATTCTATTGAAGGACGCCGAGAATACCATAGACGGATCATGTCTGCAACGAGGAAGTTTTAAAGACAATGGAAACAAGATTCAGAAAGCAAGAGTTGAAATTTCCAGGATCGGAAGTCGAGGAGAACATAAGGAAGGTAAATGGGGGTGGGGGAAACAACAAGTAATCTCCCTAAAGAGAACAGGGACTGGAAATGATAGTAAGGAGATAGACATTACCTAGAGTTACAAAGGAACTGTTAATACGGCCTGCGTAGCGGATTTGGTAAAGTCACATTTCGGTCATAGGGAAGTTTCCCTGATGGAAAAGGGGATAAAAGTTCGATTTCTGTCGGAGGCATTATCTTTCTTTAGTTGGACATTTCATTTTAGTTTGGTTGTTATTAAATTCACTGTTTAAGAAATAAAAAAAGAAAAAAAAAAGGGAAAGTAACAGAAATTCGTGTGCCTACTAAAAATGACGCTTATAGTAAAATGTATATATTTATGTTTGTAATTATGTGTACGTCTGTGTGTGTACACTTTTAGCATATTTATGTATAAATATGTATATAACCATCTATAAAAACAACACATTTATTATTCCCGAGATCGATGTATATTGTTTTACTTTGGTACTTAGGTAGGTCGGTGTGTGTGTGTATTTAAGTGTATGTGTGGCTGTAAACAGTTTCCATTTTATGAATGCATAGTCAAGTTGAGTTATGACAGATGAAAGCAAAAAGAAAAGAAAAAAAGGAAAACACGAAATGGAATATTGCCAAAAATAGCAGTAAAGAAAGAGACATCTATCTGATTAAATTGATATAAGTATAAATGGATAAGTAAAATGGACGCCACCAATACGTACTTAGATGTTGGTAATATTCAGAAGAAATAAAAACATCGATTTACAATCGACATGCAAGGGGTTTCATTCAGCGTCTTTTGAAAATGATAGATGATGGTTTATAGTGTCCTATTATTCATTGTTAGCATCGATTTCTTTTTATCTTTAGTCCTCATTTTTTTTTAAATGTCTTAAATTCTTCTTATGCCATATTTCTTTATCGCCCAATAATCAGTTTCATATTTACCTTATTCACATGCGAAATATTCTCCTCATCTTTGTTGTTTTTATCACAACGTTTCGGCCGTTGTGCACTCGGACCATTATCAGGTATATGTCACTCCGGGCAAGATACATTGAATTTCTAACTGAACCCTTTATCTATTAGCATATAAATAATGACAACTCATCAGTCTTGAAATTCAAGCAAATAATCATTACTTCTTTCTTGATCTTTTCATTTTCCGATAATAACCACTTTATTTTTTACTTTTCTCCCTTCCCCTGTCAGTTATGTGCCATGCGTGGTACACGCTTAGGCGATCATGTATCTTTCGATACTTAAACAATCATGTATTTTTTGATAGACGAGGCAGATTTTTTTTTCCAGAAGTAAGTTTACATTTCTTCCTGAGATAGACCAGGTGCCATCCAAGGTTATAGAACCCAGTCTGTCCTGCTATTTACCCATAGATTGGGAGAAAAGAATAGGACTCATACCTTTTCAAAGGGTAAGTGGACATATTTTAACTGTTAAATAAGAATTAGTTTGTTGCATGTATGTATTTATATAATGTCTTCATTTTTCAAAATACGGTCAAGATATCAACTATGAAAAATGGACACAATATCGTGTTTTGAAGGGCCGAATACAGAGACCTGATGGACTATGTACGACATGGTTTCCAATTTCCGCAGGTTTTGAATTCAGATTTGTCCTTCTCCTAGTCCAGTTGCCATCCAAGGCTATAGAACCCAGTCTGTCCTGCTATTTATCCATAGCTGGAGGGAGAAGAAAGAGCATTCGCACCTTTCCCAAGGGTAGTAGCACGTAAGTGAATGTAATGGATTCGAATGGATTTCGAACTCGGCTCTCCGATTTCTCAACCCGAGCCGCTATCAATTACTCCACCATATTCAATTACATATTTTCTGATATGAATTCTCCCGACTCCACTAGCTTCATTTTTTTTTTACTCATCAATTATCCTTTTAAGGCCGTTATTAATACCAATGTTTAGATTTGAACCCTCTCTTCCTCAATTCATTCATCTGATTCTATTTTGCACAAATTGTTTCCTTATGTTCTTCTAAAAACTTTATCGCATCTTTATTCATTAAATTCTCTCATTTTGACTTCTTTTGTAAATGCTAACTCCAGCTTATGCTTCAAGTTAATGAGTTTGGGTTTTTAATTAACGTCTTTTCACATAGAAATGTCCCATTTACTATCCAATACTGTGTTTGGAAACGACGTGACGCCTACAAATTTAAGCTTATGAAATGAAAGGGGGACAACTCATATCGAGTTATACTTATTATAAAACCCAGGTTGTTTGTGTGTGTGTGTTCGTTTATATATAGGATCGGATTTCCTACATTTTTCAACCGATTTCAAGAAAACTTCACTTTTTTTTTGGCAGGTAGTGTTTCTTATTGTCTTGCACACTTTTTTCTTTATTTTTACATTCAGAATGCTTTAAAAATTCCATTTACAAGACAATTGTTTATAATAAAATTCTATTCAATCGGTAGACTTATAACGATTGAAAACAATGTTTTTGTTTGAGTTTGACCAATTCGTAAAAAAACAAACAAAAAAAACAAAAACAAAAAAAACAAAAACAAAAACAAAAAAAAAAACAAAAACAAACACAAAAAAAACAAAAACAAAAAAAAATCCTTAAACAATAATCTTTGTCAATTTTATTTTTCAGTCTTTATGATGGTCGATACTTGATCTATCTCTTACTGTTACATCCCCGGGCAACGCCGGGCTCTACTGCTAGTACTTTATAAAGCGTAAAAACTATATCTGCACGGTCTTGTTCGAATTTAATAGTCCGAGTCTTTATTTGTATCTAGCTGACATTAACTGAACTAGACGCGATACGCCAGCCAGATGAGATGGCCGATGTCTTCAGGGGTTAATGCGCTAGGCTTTTAGGTGTAGCGATATAGACACGGATTTTGGTTTGCCGACATTTCATCTAATGCTCTTCGAGAAAAGCCGAAACGTCTATGTGTGTTGTTTTGAAGTTGTTCCGCTGGAGTAGTAGATAGCGGTTTGGATTGAGGAATCGGAGAGCCGAGTTCGAATTCCGGTGCCACGTGATAATACCTTTGAGAAGGTATGACGCCT